GCAAGTTCCGGGTCTTCAAGGCGGCGTGCGTAGCCGCTTAAGGGGGCGTTTTTCTGGCATTTCGCTCGAGCCACGAGTGCGTCTGATCGATGCCACCGCCGTCGCCCGGTGCGCTCGCCGCGGCTCGCTGGGCCTCCTGCCTCGCCTCGTCCGCCGCCCGCTCTGCTTGCAACGCCTGCTCCGCCTCGGCTGCGCGCTCCGCCGCCTCGGCCGCCGCCTTTGCTCGGGCCTGCGCTGCCTTGGCCGGGCTCCCGTGTTCGAGACAGTCGAGGATCATTGCCCCGACGGTCGCGCGGGCGGTGCCGCTGCGCCTGTGGTGCGCCGCCGCCGAATACTGCAGAAAGTGGCGCAGCGCCGGCAGCTCGGTCTCGACTGCGCAATTGAAGAGCAGCGCGCCACCGTCAGCGTCGCGCACGCCAGTCAGCTTCTGATAGTCGAGCGATGAGACCGTAAATACGGGAAGGTCCATGCGCGCGGCCTCCCAACAAGGGGCGAGCGGCCGGTGCAGGGGCAGATCGGACGGGCGGAGGTCGCGGCACCAGCTCGCCGAGAGCTGCGCCTTGGTGTACTTATTCCGGGCCTGAGCGCAAGTTCGCGCGCTCGCGTCCTCCGGCAGCCCGAGGTTGCCCGCGACCTCGGACGGCGAGATAAGATCCGCCTGGCTCGCGACCACGCACAGCGCGCCGAGGAAACCGCCATTCTCGCCGGTCATGAGCGCGTCGCGCAACGGCGTCGACAGGATCTGGCTGACGGTCTTGTCGTTGCACGTGCGTCGAATCGGCGACACAAGCCAGACAGCATCCGCTTCGGCGATGACGCTCTTCACGGCGGCGTTGCGAGCCTCGTTCTCGTCGTGTAGGCCAGGCGCGTCGATGACGCGCACGCCGCTGCTCAAGGGCGCGAACGGGCCCCGCAATGACACGCGCTCAACCAGCGGCCACCATGCTGCCCCGTCGCCGTCCTCCGGTGAGTCGACGAAGGGCCGCACCTGGGCGGCCGCGTCGCTCGCGCTCTCCGCGTGCATCACTACGCTGCGACCCAAGTCCTTCAGCCGGGGATCGGCAGCGAGGTCGCCATGCACGTCGATTTCAGCGCCGTAGAAGGATCGGACGCGGACCAGCGCGCCGTGCCCCGCATCGCCCTCGCAGGGTCGCCGCCCCTCGGCAGCGGCAGCCTTCACACAGAGCCGCGCGTCGTCAATGACAGCCGCCCACTCGTCGGCGCTCACCAGCCGCACGGCCGCCTCGAAGAGCCGCTCGCCGCTCCAGAGCACCTCCACCACCGCAGCCGTGCACGCGCGCATGGCGTTGGTCGGCAGCAGCTGGTCGGTGCCAAGCAGGCTATTGAGGAGGGTGCTCTTGCCCGCGCCCGTGTCACCGACCACGCAGATGGTGAACGGACGCGCTGGCCGGGCTGGAAGCATCTCGAGGCAACGCGACGGCGAGAGGGCCGCGGCGGCGCAGGCTGGTGCAAGCCGTGACCACACCTGCTCGATGGTGTGGCTGGCGGGCGGCGGCTCCGCCAGCCGCGGCGCGAGCCGGCGCCACTCATCGGGCGAGAGGGAGCACAGCAGCGCGCCGTCGACGCCAAGCCGCTGCAGCTGCTCGGCGCTCGGCGTCACCGCGCCATCGCAAGCGTCCGCGAGCCAGGCTGCAGTCTCGGCAAACGAGGGCGGCCGCGCGGCGTGGCCATCGCGAAGCTCGACCGACATACGTCGCAGGGCGAGCCAGAGCCCTCGCGCCGCGAGGAAGGAGGCGTCGAGCGCGCCGTCCTCCGCGTCGGCCCCTCCCGATCGGCCGAGGAGCAGTTCGCGCAGCTCGGTCTCGCTCAGGCTGCAGAGCACCCCGCGGTCGAGCTCTTCCTCCTCGCAAGCCTTGGCTGCCGCGGCAGCCACGTGGGCCGGCAGGAGTGGAGCCAAGCGCGCCTCGACCCACGCACCCATCGCCTTCGCTCCGTCCGGCGGGGGAGGCAGCGAGGGCTCGCCGTCGGGGACAGGGTGGAGCAGGGCGGCGGTGGCGGCGCCGTCGCCTTTGGCGTTGGCCCAGCGCGTGAAGCGCTGCACGTCGAGCGGCTCGGCCGTCAGGCAGAAGCGCGGCAGTTGGGGAGGGGCTGACCCCGGTGGCAGCGCGGGGTGGGTGCCGTTCGGGAGCCGCTCGCCGACGACCTGCTTGAGCGCGGGGCGCAGCGACGGCTTGCAGAAGCGCTTGCAGATCCCCAAGGCCATCTCCTTGACGGCAGCCCCGTCCTCGCCAGCCGCCAGAGCCAAGCCCAGCGCCTTCGCGACGCTGTAAACAAAGTCGCCGCCGGGCCTTGCGCAGACGGAGCACGGGCTCTTGCTGCTCAGAGGCCAGGCGGTGCTGTTGTGGGCGGGGCAGCGGGAGTTTTCGCCAATCGTGCGCTGCATCTCAGCGCTCGTCCACGCCGCATGCACGTGCGTCAGCGCCCTGCCCGCGGCTGTGTCGCCCACAGCATTCACGCGCTCCAGCAGCCGCAGTCGCTGCACCGGGTGGCGGGCGAGCTCCGCCTTGGCCGCGTCCCAAAAGGCCGCGAGAAGTGGCGCAAGCGACGTGCTCCACTCCTCGACGCTCTTGAAGGCCGCGTTGCGCAGCGCCTCAACGCTGTTCTGCGCCTTCGGGATCGCGTTGTGCGGAAGCTGCGAGATGGACGCGAGGCAAAGGAGCGCCTTGTCCACCATCGCGACGACTACCCCTTCGACCGCACTCTCTGCGGCTGCCCGGAAGGCGAAGCTCACCACACCGCCAAGACGCTGCGCCGTCAGTCCGGCGGCCTCAACACTACAGCGGCCCAGCCGTGCCGTGGCGATTGGGAGCGAGAGGGAGTTGGGCTTCCCTTGCGCGGCGGTGGCGGCCGCGAGCGTGTCCAGGTCTTGGACCTCCAACGTATCCACCATGCCGCGCAGTGCCGACTCGGCGTGCTCCCACCGAGCACCTTGTAGCCGACAGAGCCGGGCGAGCGCAGCCTGGCGCTCTGCGCCGGCCGCCAGCTCGACGCTCTTCAGCAGAGTGCCAACGAGCAGAGCGTCGGGCACCGAGTGCTCCTGTAGCAGCAGCGCATCTGCGAGCAAGCTGACCTTGCCCGTCGGGATCGTTGGCGACGGCCGGACCGCCCGCTCGCACAGCATGGTGAGGAGGTCGCTACGAAGCCACGGCGGCGAACGCGCGAGCTCAAGGAGGAGCACGTCCGACTCCTCTTCGCCGAGGGCGGTACCAACGCTGGCCGCGCGCGCGCTTGCGAGCCGGTGGATGTGCTGGAGCTCGAGCAGCCTGCTCTTCGCCAGCGCCTCGAGGCTCTTGATTGCGGCCTCGAGGCGCCCGCCCGCTGCGCGTGCTACCTCCAGCGCGGCAGCAGCCTCAGCCTCGCAGAGCGGAGCGGGCGTTTGCATGCCGCAGTAAGACAGCAGCGCGGTTCGCGCCTCGAGAATGGAGGAGGCGGCCTTCTCAGCGACGACGCGCTGCAGCTGCCGCTCCAGCTCGGCAACGCTGCTCGCCTGCTCTGCGCGCATTGCCGTCACCTCGGCCGTGAGCGCAGCCAGCGCAGCCTCCTGCTGCATGACTGCCCCACGCGCGGCGCCAACATCGAGCGTGGAGCGGAGGGTGGCGACGTCGGCCTCGCCGAGGGCGCCGCAAGCCTCGAGCAGCGTGTGCGGCGGCGGTGGAGCAGGCTGTGGAGGGGCTGCAGCGGGCTGCATACACATCGTCACGAAGGCGGGAATATGGAGCGGACCAGCGCCAGTGGTTGGGGGTGTGTGGGGGGGGGGGGGGTCGGGGGGGGGGGGGGGGCCCTTTGGGGTTTGGGGGGGGGGGGGGGGGGGGCCCGGGAAATTGATTCCCAAACCAATCCCCTTTTTTTTTTTTTTGGGCAAAAAAATTTTAAAAAAAAAAAAATCCTTTTCCCCCCCGCCCCACCAAAGGGGGGGGGGAAAAAATTTTTTTTCCAAAAAT